GAAATGAAACACAAAATATTAATCTTTTCATAACCAAAAATGTCCAAGTAGTTTGGGTCTGTCACTTAAAATCCAGATAAAATACACAAAAGCTTGTGGTTTAAACATGTCAGGATTCAACAATATGCACTGCAAAAACACAAAATCTTACCAAGTATTTTTGGTCTAGATTCTGGTGCAAATATCTTAATAGAGTTGAAAAAAGACAAAATTAACTTACAAGTAAAATGTTCAGCAATACATAGGAGCTTGTTTTGAGTAACTAGTTCCTCAGTCATGATGAAAAAGTACTAGTTCAATTACCAGATTATTGCACTTATAACATGGAAAAAAATGATTGCTGTAAGTAAAATAATCTACCAACAAAACAAGTACATTTTCATCAATATTAAGTTCTTATTTAGTCAAAACAATCTTCCACTTCTTGCTGAAAAGTTACTTAAGTTAGTTTTTGTTATTTCAACTGTACTAAGATATTTGCACCAGAATCTAGGTCAAAAATACTTGGTAAGATTTTGTGCTTTTGCAGTGAATGCATCTGATGCAATTTTACTAAATGTTTAAAAATAAATATTTTCAAATATTTAAATAAATGTATTTAATTTTGTATAGATACATTTAAATTAAATACATTCATTTAAATATTTAAAATATTAAAACTGAAATATTTTCATTTGATTTTATTCCAGTCGCTTGAGTAATTTCTTGGAAGCTACATTTAACTTTTACTTCAGTAAAAATGTTTTGAAGTGATGTTACTCTTTCTTGAGTACAATTTTTGGACACTTCATCCACCTCTGATGACAAACACACAAAACCTTTTATGTACAAAAACACAGGAAAAGTCAGTGAATAAATTATGAACATGTAATCTATAATAATATTAAAGGACATCTTCTGGTGTGATACTTGTGATAAAAATGGAGGTTTCCTCTGGTTTCTTTTCTCGTGGTGGGCGAGAAAAGAAAACATTCACAGAAATGTGGAAGTTTTCCAGTATCAGGAAAAAACCCATCTGCCATTCTTTGTATCTTCATATCTCTGGTCTCAATGATCCGGATCCCTCCCTCCCTCGTTGCTCCGGCTTCCTCTGCTCTTCCCTTCCCTCAGGCCATCGTCGACAGGAAAGACCATGAAGGCTCTTCTGAAGCATGTGGAGACCTTTGAGCCCAAGATGGTCAAGGTCGCGGGGTGAGTCGGCGTCTCAGTCGTCCCAAAGTTTTTCCACTGTGAGGGAAATGCCGAGCGCATGATGAGCAGGAGGACAAGATGTCACTTTGTGGGCAGCTTTTCCGTAGATTGGAGAGAAGATTATCATCTTGCTGCACACATGGCTTATTGTAGAGCTTTATTTCCTTTTCAGTTTATGACAGAAAATCAGAAACTTATCGGGTCAGATCTATAAATCAACAAGAAATCAGTTAATTAACAGTGATTGATGTGTTTCAGTCTGCTGGTGAAGAGGCTCTCTAACATGACTGAAAGTCTGACAGACTGTAAGTATTTTCTACAACTAACAGCTACTTTAGTAATCAGTTAATCAATTTTCTTGATGATTAATCTTTTAATCGATTAATCGTATTTAAAATAGCAGCCATTTTCCCCCCACCTGAGGCTTTTTAGTTAAAACATATTTACAGACAAAGGTGTTTTAAGTGCAAAATAGCTGTATTGCAACTAATGATTATTTTAGTAATCAATTCATCTATCAATTTTTCTGATGATTAATCGATTAATCGGATATCTCATTGGCACATTCTACAGATATTTCTTTCTCATTTTTTATGCAAAATAAATATTTTAAAAGATCCAAATAAAAAATTATTTAAATACTTTTATAAATAAGAAAATAAACATTTTATTACCTAAAATTGGATTTTAGGAAATAACATTTAGTAAATCTGAACCAGGTGGAGATGAAAGTGGGAGGCCGCTGGAGGCATTTTGGGTAAAACATATTTACAGACTTAAGGGTTTTTTTTATCTTAAGTGCAAAATGTATGTATTGCAACTAACAATTATTTTAGTAATCAAATAATCTAATTTCCTGATTATTATTCAATTAATAAGATACAAAAATGTTACATTTCACATATATTTCCTAGCCAATTTTTTAATACAAAATTAGAAATGCATTAAAAGAATCCAAATAAACAATTATTCAGATGCTTTTTTAAATGAGAAAACAAGTTAAAACTTCACCAAGGTGCTGTAGAAAAACACAATGTTGATAGAGGAAAAAAAGTCAAATAAAACACCCCAACAGAAAAGTTACAGTATCAAGTCTCAGTTAAATGAAAACGTATAAAAATAAGTTTTAAAAAAATGCATGTTTTTTGAAACTATAAGTAAAAGATAGTTGTATTTTGATCGCAACATGTTGGCTCAAACATCTGTTTGTTTTGGCAGATGTTGGATTTGAAATCCCCAATCGATTCGTGGTCGGCTACGCCTTGGACTACAACGAGTACTTCCGTGACCTGAACGTAAGTCCGGAGTTTGCTGCTGCTGCTGCTGCTGCTGCTGCTGCTGCTGCTGCTGCTGCTGCTGCTGCTGCTGCTGCTGCTGCTGCTGCTGCTGCTGCTGCTGCTAACCTCGTGACCTTTTGAAAAGCTGTGGAGAAAAAGAGATGACAGAGGCGGAGGCGGGAGAGCAAACACGATAAATCAAAGCGGTTCTCTCCTCCTCTGTAAAATCCAAACTCACCCAACAGGTATCCTCCCGGGCTGAGGAGGTTTTACATGCAGCTGCAGCTTTTTATAAGAATGCTTTATGAGAGTACAGTTGTTTGAAAGACAGAAACATCCAGGAGAGTCTGCCTTATTATCTTTGCACTATTTGATTTTCACCGTCCAATTTAGTGCCACGGACGTCCATTACAGGTAAAGCCAGAAGTAACTTGTAAGAAAAAGTAATTCTGCTGATATGGAAGCTAAAATAAAATATTCATAAATGTTACAGAGCTTTCAAAAAACACAAAATCTTACCAAGTATTTCAGTACAGTTCCTAGTTCAAATATCTTAAGTTTCAACTCACAAGAAACTTTTCAGCAAGACAAAGGAGCTTGTTTTAAATAAATAATTCCTTAATCTTGATTTTTTTTTAAAAGTACTTATTCCACTTTAAAAACAAACATTTCCCCTTCTCATAAGCAAAATAAAGTGGAATTAAAAGGTTTTCATTGTTATTAAGAAGTTATTGACTAAAACAAGCTCCTAATTCTCACTGAAAGTTACTTGTAAGCTGTTTTATTTCAAGTTTATTAACATATTTGCAACAGAAACTTGGTAAACTGTGGTGTTTTTGGAGTCTTGGCAACATTTTCCTGCAGATTATTCAACTAAACAAGCAAATATCAACTAATGCTTCTCTGATCAATAAGGCTTGAAATATATATGATACTTATTCTAATTGATAAAATAATATATGATATTAAGATTAGTTTTACATGTAATTTAGGTGTTTCATCCTATTTCAACCTTTGCAAATAATTTAAGAAAATAATGATTTATTTAGTTTCTGGTATCATTTCCTCATTTTACCCAATTTTCCTTTCAGATAAAAATGACAGTTTTCTGTGCTCTTTTTTCCCAAACCTGGACGTTTATTTCAGGTCAGAAATCAGTGGAAATGTTTGGAATATTTTCTGTTTTTATTTGCAGACATGTGAACTGATATTCACCTCCAGCCTGACCTGTTCGCCGGTGCGAAAGGCTAGCTTCACTCCCAGAACGTTATGTGCTGCATGTTTGCGCTGTATGTGTCTCCTATGCGTCTTTGAGGGGGCGTTTTGTGAAAAACCGACCTGTGGAATGTGGAGGTTTGGAATCTCATTATCAGACAGAGTTCAGGTTTACTCTGCTATCTGTCCTCATCCCACCGAAGAAGAATGAATCAAACGCTCCCCCACAGAGACTCAGAGTTTGATTAATGGACGTCTTTAGATCACACTGCCTGCTTTCAAATAACTCCAGGTTTCCAGGTTTATTCCTGTAGATGGAGTGTTCTTGCTTTTATGCAAAATGGAAAGTGGCTTTCTATTGACCCTTTGCAACTACGTCACTTTTCATTGGAGGCTCCATGATGGAGGTCGAAAGTGAGGGACGGGAGTATTAAACAGAGCGACTGAAATTGTTTTCCAGAGTTAATTTTGCCAGTTTATTCATGGCTACTGCTTGTTCGAGTCGAGCTAATTCGTCTGAGAATGTAACACACCTACATTTAATCAATGTTTGGCTTAACCCTTTGCTTCCTTAATTGATAAAATCACTGGAGAAATGTTTCCTCTTCTTCCCTAACTTGGTCAAGGAATGGAGGAAAAATGAGCGTGTATTTTTTTTTAACTGGTAAAAAGTGTTGGCTGCTAATCCGCGGTTACTCCGAGCGCTGACATCACTGCCGTTTCTTTCTTCATAAAAAGTTATACCATAAAATGACAAGTTTGGTTTGCATCCTTGTCTGTTTGTGCAGCCGACCGCGCACATGGTAACTTTTAAAATGAACTGAATATGAGGGCCACTGTGTTACAGATGTCTGTTTTTAGACGGGCTTTAAAGGAACGCTTTGGTTGTTTCGACCTCCGTCATGGCGGAGTTCTGGAGAGCGTGATTTTACATAATTTGGGACACTAAACTTTTCCCTCTTTTTCTTTTCAGCACATCTGCGTCATCAGCAAAACGGGAAAGATGAAGTACAAGATTTAGAGAATTAAAGCCATTAATAAATATATTAGCTGTTTTAGCACTGTGGCTGTGTTGAAAATTAATAATTATTATTATTTACATATTTCCATGAGCTTCAGATAAATTGTATTTGTAATATGGTTATATATATATAGACTTCCTTTTTGCTTTTTTTGTCACTACTGTCACAATAAAAAAAATTGCTTGACGATAAATTGTCCCTGAAGTTCTTGTGATAAACGATAATATTGTTTGAAGATCATTTAAATTTTAATGTCATAATAATGAACGAACACATTCTGAAAGATCAATGCACATTTTCCTCCTCTTTAACTGGAAGATATTTTAAATATTCTAATGAATAAACAAAAGCAACAAATAAAACGCATCATAAAGTCTCTGTAAACAGAATTATCTTCATAAAAGTTAAGACCAAAGCACCGACTGAAGACTGTAATTTTTGATATAAAGAGAAAAACAATAAATCATGCAAATTACTGAGCTTGTTTTAATTTATTATGCGATTGTTTTATTGAGTGTTTTATTGCGACAGGCCTTCTGTCACACAAACAGTAAATGTTTCAGATTCTCAAACGAATGTTGATATTAACCCCTTCACACCTGATTTTTATCTACATTTTCATCCAGTTAACTCTTATTCCCTTTTAACAAAGTCTGAGAGATTAAATCTCAAATAAGTTATAAAATACTTACCTTTTTACTCTGCATAATATTAATTTTTGCAACTTACAAGAATTATTGTCATTCTTTGTCCTCACAATTTCCATTTAACCTTATATATGGGTCTGTCTTATGATGTAAGTTTTACATATTAATGATAGTTTGATCAGTTACGTACTATTTAAGCAGACTTTCTACCTCTTAAAGTAATTCTTGGATGCATACTTTTTACTTTTACCAGACTAAAACTATGTTGTAGTCGTGTTACTCTTATTTGAGTATCATTTTTGGATTCTCTGCCCACCTCGAATACAAAATGATGCTAAATTTGGATCGCTAATTCTTTGTTGAGATGAACGCAGGGACCGAAAAGATGAAGAAAGAAAAGCTGTTCAGTACAAGAGGACGTAGGTGACAGATGGAGGGAGCTTATGGACCTTGGCATCCTCACTGTTGGATGATTCCCACTCTGACTCATGGAAAACGCAGCGGGCGTTGTCCTCAAACTGCCGTCTTTACGCCACTTTATTCAAGCCAGTTTCAACTTTTAGCTGCCTTTTCCTGGACCTTGGGATGAATAACTGACAGTTTTAACTGCAAACAAATTAAAGCCATCATTTTATGTCAATTTGTTTCTGCAGGATAATAATTAGTTTGACACAAGACAGAGAAAAACAAAATGTTTTGCTTGTTTTTTTGGGTCTTGGAGAAAAGGGTGTAAATACTGAAATGTCAAAACTTAAATCTTTCACACGACTTTATTTCTCATCTCTAAACTGTTGCCTTAGTTTGTGTTCAGTTTATTCTTCAAAACAGAACCACATCATGTGCGTCTTGCATCCAAGGGCGCAAGTCCCATTTCATTCTTGGGGGACCATAAACAGAAAAATTTCTTTAGACCAATTTTGGGAAAATTACAGTGAAATTTAAAAAAGGTTTTAAACCAGAGGCTCCATCCCTAATAAATGACTATTAATATTATATGTACTTTTTGTTTCAGGTCTGTATTTCAGTTTAAACATTCTTTCAGACAGAAGGGCTGGCTGTCCTTCCTGGACGGGGGAATGTGGGAAAATGTCAGTTTGTTTCAATTTGAGGTGAATTGTTTCAGTCTTGCCTTTCGGGTGTGTCTCCTCAGCAGGGTGGAGCAGTTAGTTTCTGTACCTACCAAGATGGCTGCCAGCTGCAACGTTCCCGGAAGTGTGACATCATGTGAGAACTATACTTGATTGATTCCCAAGGGGAAATTGGTTATTAGGGGACATTAGAAGATCGTGAATGTCAGTGAGGTTCGGTATTTTACTCAGTTCACTCTGAGATGCAGAGGAACAAGATGATTAAAAAGCAGTAGGAAATTATGCTGCTTTCTGTTTCTTGCTGTCTGGGCAACAAAGACCCACATTGTACCACTGACTGAAACCCCATGTACCCTTATCATAAAACATCAGCACTTGTTGGTAGTTGTTAACTTATCCCAGCACTAATGCCCCCTGCATTGCCTTGGGAACTCAGCAGCCATTGTCTGTCGCCTTGAGCCAGGGTTTGGTGAAAGCGAGAGCAGACAAAAAGCCTGGCAGGTTTCTCATGCTGCAGCTTTGTGGAGCTTCGCCGGGGGAACAGAGGCTGGGGCCGGGGCCGGAAAAGTGTACTACAGGTAAACTGGGACCAACACAAAGGGAACAAAACCGGGATTGTCCAGTTCAATGGCCACACATCCCAGCTTTTGACATATGAAGCCTGTGGTTACAGATGAAGAGCTGGGATTTAATTTCACCTCAACAGAACAACACATGGAGCATATTTAATCTGTAGACCTAATCTGTTTATCTGCTGGTTTGGTTGGATTATAACATTTAAGAAATACTCTGTTTTACGAGAAACAGAACATCTCAGGTCTGGTAAGCATTAAAAACATCTCAGACTGAACTTTTAGTTAAATACTGAAATATAAAGGATCCATTTTAAAAGGATTTATCAAAAGTATTGTTTTTTTTAGTTGTTGTAACTGTTATCAATTAGATTATTATATATCATATAACATTAGAATATTGATCTTTCCAATTAGGGCAGTCAAATGTTTTCAGAGTGTTTGACTTTCTCAAGTCAAACCATATTTTTACTTCTACGGCGTACCATGGTTTACAAATAGAAAGAACATCCTGCAGCGTCTCTTGGGTTTGAGGCAGCGTTTCATCCAGTCATCTAACTCGGTGCCAGATCCACTTACACAACCAGGAGTCCGCAGCGATCCTCTTAAACCCTCACACTGGGAAAAAGAGTGGCTGAGAGGTCTTCTTCCACAAAAAAATAGAACAAAAGAAGAAACAAAGACATAACATGCAGAGTAATGTCCTAATCCAAGCCCAGTCAGGCTTTGGACTTGTGTTCATCTTCATGTAATGTCCTAATCCAGACATATATTGGAAGATCTGGTAATCTCCTCGCTGCCTGAGTCGGGCAGAAATTACTCAGATTTACTCATCTGAGTAACTTGTTGAGTATTTTTAAATGAAGTATTACTGCTCTTAAGTAAAATTTCTGGATAGTCAACCCACTAAGAGTAACTTCTCTGAATAAGTTTGTTTTAACCAAATATTCACCAGACACACACAGTTGCAGCTTTTGTTAAAGTTTTGTAAGTTTTACATTAAATTAATTTAATTTGAAAAATTTTTATCTTTTGCCTGATTTCTTTTTATAATTATGTTATTTATATGAATAATATTTCATTTATTTCTTTAAATTACCAACACTTCCACATAATTGTTTGATTTTCTCTGTCTGATGTAATTCTTAAAAATTAAATAATTGATATTTTGATTAGTTACTCAGTACTTGAGTATATTTTTTACAGAATATGGTAAAAGTACTCTTACTGTACTTTGTACATGTAGTTTGAGTAAAAATATGTTGAAGTTTCACTACTTCAGTAAACTCCTGGTACTCTACCCACTTCTGCCTGCTTCTTATTGTATATTTGGAGCAAAAGCTACAGAAAAGTTGGGAATTTTCAACCCAAATTGGGAATAGGAGGAGGCGGCTCCATGGCTGTAAACCAGTAAAAGCTTTTATGGTTTCTGGAAGAATTTTTATGCACACATGTAATCCACAAGGATGCTGGGAAACAATAAGCACAAGTTCTGCTTCTCCAGAGCTTAACGAGCAGGTTGCGTTAAATGAATCTGCAGCTCATGTTTACCATCACTCAGGGCAGAGACCCACATCCATCAGATGAACTTCTCCATTGTCTGGATGAGAGCGCACAAGCTCTCTAGACAATAGGTCCTCTCTGAAACCGGGAGAGCTTCGTCCTATTGTCCTACCTTCTATTGTGCTGCAGGAGAAGCCAGCAAACTGAATTCTGCAGGGCTTTGTCTTTGTGTGGATTGTCCTGGGATTTTTCATGCCCTGGTGGAGTCCGTATGCGCTAAAATACAGTTTGTAATGGAGAGGTAGATGTGCTTCACTGGCTGAATGTTGGGAAGTTGGAAAGCTCAGCATCTGGGTATGAGCCTGACGCTTGTTTTTATGTTGATGTAGTGATTTATGTGCTTTAAAGGTGGAAAACGGCAGCGGCTAATGTGTGGCAACGAGGGGTTAATTGGAGCAAATGTGTCACAGGGATCTTAGCAGATGTATTCTTTAGAAAGTATTCATACTCTCAGAAGCAGAGTTGGATGGTAACTATTTACATGTACTCAATTACATTTACTTGAGTAACTTTTGGGAGTATTTTTTAATACAGTATTCTACTGTAACATCAGTACAATTTCTGGATACTCTGTTTACTCAATTGGCTTCTGCTTATTTTGTTAACTTTTGTTACTTATATCAATTTTGTCCTTACAATACCATAATCTCTTCATCTAAGCTACTTTAATAAAGGTGGCAATCATCCTTCAAGGTGAAATTTCAGTTCTGTCTTGATTATTTTTCAGTATATAACAGGTTTTCCTCCAGAACTGCTGTGTATTTAGCACAATCCATTTATCTCAGGTCAGGAAACGTTGCTGTCCCTTCTGAAGAGCAGCATGCCCATAATATAATACAGCCGTTCCACTTTTTACATCCTAAATTTATCATAGCTTTGTGTGAGTGTGTCAAATAAAATGGTATATTTGGAACAAAACACTGCATATTGCTGTATTCCAAATGAATGGTGGATGCAGAAGTATGAAAATGAACAAAAGGTACATTTACTTTCCCAAAACACTGCATAGCCATTGTAATTTCATAAATTCAGTTGGGACTTTTCTGTTTTTAACGCAGAAATGCATGGACACAGAAACAATAATACAAATTTAAAAATTACTTTTTAAATTTCTGCTTAAATCAATAGTATATTTGTCTGATAATGCATAAATAGTTAATTGTGTGCTAAAAACCCCATGTTTTGGCCGCAGCACCAACATAAACAATGTAAAGCAGTGCTTTTCAGCTGGTGACCAGAATAAACCAGCTTCCACTCTTTACTGAATCCGTTATGTAAGGACTTCTCCCATTGGTCCGCTTCTCAATTCCAAATTTAAACCCGCGCTCTGATTGGACAGTGTGCTGCCAGGAGGCAAGTAGAAGGGGGCGGAGCTTCAGCCGGGTCGGGAGATTCGTCAGTTGGTAGTTCAGATTGTCGCGCCGC